GGCAAAACGTTCATAATGAGTGACGGAGACATAGGGCTTGCACTAGTCTACTTTTGGGTATGTCAGAAAATTCCTATAATAAAATAATAACAAAGTTTGTACAGAAAGAGGAATAGAAGGAAGGGACAGCATCGTGGCATAAATATATAAAATCCAGAGTCTGGTGGTTAGAAACGTTTGTGTAACATAGAATATATAAATAAAAATAAAGGATCAGAGGAGGAAAAAATCACATCAAAGGCAAAATGTGCCAGGGCCTTTAAATCAGCACAAGCAGCTATTAATAACTAAAAGCTGATTGAAAGAAGGGGTAACAGGTATTTAATGAAGATGTGCCAAGGGGAAGTTGAATGAAATACTGGAGTTACTGAGAAATTTAATATTTTATCTTCCAAATATATAGTATCTTAAGGAGTTGAAAGCCCCAATTTAAAAGTCTCACAATATAGTAGTGACTATCCAGGCTTACGAGTCAGACTAGCCTGGATCTGAGTCCTGGCTTCAACATGTACTGTGTGACCATGGACAAGTTGTTTAGCCCCTCTACGCCTAGTTTTCTACCTGTAAAATGGAGATTGTAATAGTACGTATGAGATACAGTTGTTGGGAAGTTTAAATGAAATAATACCTGCCAAGTCTTACCTACACCTGACTCAGGTGTAGTTGGTTAATAAACAGCGGTTACCTTGGGAAGTGACTCTGCCAAGAGAGCCAAAGATCTTAGCAGTTAAGTCAAAAAGGCACAATTTTGCCAGGGATTCAACTGCACCCTCTACAGCCCTGTCCCTGAGCCCTAGGAAACCTCCTAGGAGGACTGACCTCTACAGAATGGCCAAGCAGTCCACAGCACGGACTATGGGTCTATGGGGCCAGACGCCATGCAAGGCAATATTGGTGGCAGCTCACAGCCAAGGGGGATACAGGTCTTAGCCACAAAAGCAGAGAGGGAAACAATCCCAAGATGTGCATTGTATCTAAGAGGAAAATAGGCCCATTGCTCAGGAGAAGTGAAACTTTTCCTGACCCAGAGGTCTGAGTTTTTATAAAAGTAGACGGTGAGCACACTGGGTGCACGGAAGAGAATGAGGAGAAAGTGAGCCCAAGCCAGCTGGACAAGTGTCACAGGCACATACTACTACTAGATCTCACCCTGCAGACAGTGAGGAGCAATTCTGAAGGCTTTCCATCAACAAAATGGCCAGAAGAGATGTTTTAGAAGGATGACCTGGCAGAAGGGGTGGGAGGACTAGAGTACAGGAAGATGAATTGTCCAGACGATGGTAGCCAGGGCTCAATTTAAAGTACTGAGTAAGGAGAGGTTAGAAGCGAGACACACTGCAAAGGCAAGAAGAATCAATAAGACAATAACCAATGAGATGTGTGAGGCAGGGAGGGATCAAAGGTGACTCCCAGGTCTCTGGCTTACCTTACCACTAGGTGGAAGCTAGTTGCTTCTCCCGCAGTCCTTCCTCTCAGTAAAGTTTGTTCAGGCCAAAGCCCCTGGCTTCATCTTTGACTCCCCCCTCTCTCTCACACATCACATCCTGTCCAATGAACATTCATTCAACAAATATTCACGGATGCCACACAGTGTGCTAGGCACGAGGAACACAGCACAGAAAAAACACCTGCCTCAAGGCGCTGTATCTTCTAGAGGTAGAAACAGGTAATAAACAAGAAAAACATATCATAGGTTAGATTATGTTAGTATTAAGGAGTAAAATATAGTAGAGAAGACTAATAGAAGTGTAGGGGAAAAGAGTTAAAATTTTAGATAAATCTGTGAGTGAACTGTATTCCGTCTTCAAAATAAATCTAGGAACAGATTTCACGCAACTTCCACTGCCAACACCACTGTCCCAGCCACCATGATCTCTCAGTAGCCTCCTGTTATTGCAACAGTTTAACTGCTCTCTCTCCTTCCATCCTTCTTCCCCTGTAATGTACTCCCAGCAGCACAGCCAACAATTCTAAGTCAGAAGATATCACTCCTTTGTCCCTAACCCTCCAAAGGCTTCCCATTAACACTCTTAAGAGTCAAGGCCAAAGCCTCCCCAACCTACAGGACACAGTTATCTGGCCACTGTCACCTTCTGCTCTCATCGCCCTGTGTGAGCTCCTTCCCCGCTCCACCAGCACTGGCCTTGCTGTTCCTGCACTCGGGGCATACTCCCACCGTGGGACCTTAGCGTTTGCTATTCTTGCTTTCTGAAGCGCTCCTTCCTAGATTTCCACACGGCTCGTGCGCTCGTCTTCTTCAGGTCTTTCCTCAAATGTCACATCTTTGTCAGTCCTTTCTGGTCTTCCTACCTAAAGAGCAATGTCCCATCAGGTCCTTGTCCCCCTTCCTGGCTTTATTCTTTCTCCCCAGAATTTAAAACCTTATAACACGTTACACACTTTACTTCTCTTGTTATTATTTTCTTTCCCCATGCTAAGATAACTCAATGAGGGCACTTGTCTATTTTTTTATATCCTAGCACTTAGGATCGTGACCAGTACATAACAGGTACTCAATAAATATTTGTTGAATGAATGAATATAAAGCAAGAAACAGGTCTGGTGAGACGGCAAGAAGAAAAGGGAGAAATTGGGTGAGGGAATTTAACACTGAATGAGCCTCTTAAATTGTGAGCTGCCTGTGGGACATCCTGGTAGAGAATTCACAGGGCAGCAGAACTCTGGGTGTAGCTCAGAAGAGGTCGAAGCTGAAAAGACTGGAAATATATCAGTACAGACCGGCTGAGAGAAGGCAGGAGAGAACCTCGGGGAACTCGAACATTTAAAGGAAAGATGAAGAGGAGCCAGAGAAAAGAATGAGAAGGAATTTTCACAGGGAGAGAGAACAAGAATATAAGAGAAAGAAGTGTTGGAAAAACCAAGGGAAGAAAAGACCTCAAAAGAGAAAGTGAGGAAGAGTGTTCCATATTATATAAAACTGAGGCAAAAGCACAAATGAAAAGAAGCTACTGGACTTGGAAATTAGGTCGCCCCTGGCAACGCTCAAAACAACTTCAATAGAACGGTGGGCAAAGGAGCTTGATTACCCCAGGTTAAAGAGCAAATGGGTCATGGTGAAGACGGGAAGACAATAATTATAGACTGATCAGTCTTCCACAAAGTCTAGCAGTAAAAGAGAAAGCATATGGACAAAGGGAGAAGGAGAAAGAGAAATAATAAAAGTTGCAATAACAATAATATTACCAGTAACATGTATTACTAAAATAACCTTTATACCAGGTATTCTTCTAGGCAATTTACAACATTAATTCATCTAATCCTTACAAAAATCCCAGGAGGTAGATATTATCAATATCCCCATTTTACAGATAAGGAAACTGAAGCACAGAAATGCTAACTCATTTATAAGGACTCAGAGAGTTTGGCTTCAGAGTCTGAACTTTTTAAAGGATGGGGTAAGTTCAGTCTGTTTGGCAGCTGAGGGAGAGGAGACAGCAGCATGAAAAATTGAAGATCTAAAAGTGAAAAAAACAAGCACTAGAAAAGAATGGCATTAAGACATCAGAAAGAGGTTAGCTTTAAGGGCAGCAGGGACACCTCTGCCTCTGAAGCAGGGGAGAGCTGTAAGGATGGGTAGATACATAAACAAGTGTGGCGGCTGAGAAGTACTTACTGCTGAGAGGCTGTGATTTTGATGGTGTAGACCCTGAGAACGATGGGCACAGGGCTTAAGGAGAGAAGCAGAGTAGCCAATGGACTAAAAACGCCAAAGGACTGTCCCAGAACAATGAAAGTTTGGCAGGGGCTTGAAACCCGAAGTGCATGACGGAGCTAATCAGCATGGTTGTTTGATGTTTCCCTCACAGTGTCTGGGGGCCTAGGCACAGTTACAGTGAAAACAGCTGGTTCGGTTGATAGAGAACTGGCAATGGGCAAGGCACAGGAAAGAGAGGGTAAGGGGGTAGGACCTGAAGGGCCGAGAAGAATGGCACTCAACTGACTAACGCAGGGACTCCCAAGTCAGGATCCAAAGACTCTCGCTGCCGTGAGGACTGGGCATAACAACCAGAGCCTGTCTCTGAGGCAGGCTGCTGAGGACTTAGGGCAGAGGCCCAGGAGCTGGCCCTTGTGCCACGCAGGGAGGGAAGCTGGTGATGGGCTCTCAGGTGAATAGAATAAAACGTTTTGGAGGGTGACTGGCAACGGCCTAGAGAGTAGCCTCAAGGGAGACGGCGCTACAGGCAGGGAGGTGGGGAGGAAAGGGGTTCAGGAACCCTTCAGCTAATCTGGGGACTTGGACATAGGGGTAAAATGGGCCTGTGCAAGCAACTCAGAAAGGAGCCATGTATTTAGGGCCTCGGGAGTAGGGGGTGAGGAGTGCTGGGAGAGACACCCCTGAGATGGACACTGAAATGATAAAATGTTTACGAGAGAAACCAAGGAGAGCCTTAAGGGGCTCAGAATCCTTGCTTGAAGTGCGGTGTAAGTGGCTTTCGAGGCCAAAACTCAAGAGCCTTACTAAAGGATTAACCATACAATTATTCCAATTTGGGAAATTAGATTATATCTAAGTCAATTGGGATTTGATATATTTTGTAAAGCCTACTTTAATAGGCTTCAGTTTCCTTTATCAAATTTTCATAGAGAGACTGAAAGTTTGATGTAAGTACGAATTTATTGACATGAATTTCCTTTAGCTATTACTCTAACACAGAGAGAGTACCTAAGAGCTGAAGACAATGATCATAAACCCACAAGATCTGAAGTTTGCAAGATTTGCTCCCTCCCCCTCAAAGAGAGAAAGAGACAGAAAGAGAAAGAGAGCTAGAGACAGAAAGAGAGACAGAGAGAGAATATGAACAAATCTTTAAAAAAGAATCTGGAGACTGTTTTCAATTATTAAGAAGTAATGACAGTTTCACAATTTAAGCATTTTTTCCAGAAACATATATCTATTCCATAGATACCAAACTGATTACCATATAATTGAATTTGAAAATATACAAAATATTTGTTGTTCTTACATACTGAAATTAAAACCTAATTTTAAAAAGTGCACAGTAAAAACAGCATAAGGAAACCTACAATATCCATGGTATGTGTATTGTTTTCCATTGTACTGCCAACATCAAATTCTGTATTTGCCTTATTGGTTACAAATATATTTTAAATGTCTCAAGGCCATTTATAACACTGACTAGTTTACTGGGTCCAACAACATTTCGGCTTCCTGGACTGGACGTGGAGTCTCGGCCTTGCAGCTCTGTGCAGCAGAAGCAGCTCTGGAAAGAACAGTCGCCAACCAGCTATTTGAAAACTATCGACTCTTGTTCTTTTTAGAATTTCCCTGTACAAAGAAAAATACCAACAATAAGAACACAAAATTCCAACAAAAAAAAAACGAACTCACATAGTTTATAAACCAAGCTGTCTGAAAGCCATATTTCACTGTGGAACACTTCAGCTTCCAAAAGGGAGGCTAGCTGATAACTACCACATTGTTAACTTTTATTCAGTAATCACTAAGCAATTTGTTATGTTTCACTCTCTACTTCTATGGACCCTAGCCTTCTAGGGGCTGAAGGTAGGTGATAAAGAAAAGAAAGCTATTATCTTTGATTTATCAAAACCTCAAACATTCATTTTGTTCTAAAGACAAGGGAGTAAGATTTCATGAACCTGAATAAAAAAACGGTTAGCTTAAACATGTTTGTTGTTTAAATAAACACCTTTTAAAGGTCTTAATAGGTAATAATTTTGAATACATGGCAATTTAACACCCAATGGCACCAATCATCTGTCAAAAGTAAGCTTAAATATGAGCAGAGAACAAGTTAGAAGGAAGATGCCTTAACTTATTCCCAATTCCTCAAATATAGAGATTTGGACTTTACAGTTTTGTCTAACTTTTCTTCTTTCTGGAGAGGCTCACTACTTAGGAATACCTTCTATTAATAATTAAACTCCTATATTTGGCCAGGTATGGTGGCTCATGCCTGTAATCCCAAGGTGGGAGGCCAAGGCGGGAGGATCACTTGAGACCAAGAGTTCAAGACCAACCTGGACAACACAGTGAGACCCCTGTCTCTACAAAAAATTAGCCAGGTATAGTGACATGTGTCTGTAGTCCCAGCTACTCTGGAAGCTGAGGCAGAACGATCATTCATGCCTAGGAGTTTGACGTTGCAGTGAGCTATGATCACACAATCGCACTCTAGCCTGGGTGACAGAACAAAACCCTGTCTCTAAAAAAAAAAAAAAAAAAAAGAAAGAAATGAAATCAAATAAATTCCTATATTTAACTTTTAGGTATAAATCCATTTTCTTCATGTAAGTAAAAAATGCTTGCAGAATACAAACACTAAGAGCAAAATAATATCAAGCAAATGGTTTAGGATGTTTACTTGGTATCCAATGGAGACAATGTCACCTTAGCCATAAGATGATGCTATAGCAATCTAAATTACTAATAAGCAGTGGGGGCAGGGGAAGCAAAATACAGGGATTATAGAATGATCAAAGAAAGTTTAACAACATAAATTCCAAATTGAAGAAGGGTCTCTTACTCAGAGTTTTATTTAATGACAAGTATTTTTAAAAATAGCTTAAAAGGGCCGGGCGGGGTGGCTCACGCCTGTAATCCTAGCACTCTGGGAGGCCGAGGCGGGCGGATTGTTTGAGCTCAGGAGTTCGAAACCAGCCTGAGCAAGAGTGAGACCCCGTCTCTACAAAAAATAGAAAGAAATTAATTGGACAACTAAAAATATATAGAAAAAATTAGCCGGGCATGGTGGCGCATGCCTGTAGTCCCAGTTACTCGGGAGGCTGAGGCAGGAGGATCACTTGAGCCCAGGAGTTTGAGGTTGCTGTGAACTAGGATGACGCCATGGCACTCTAGGCTGGGCAACACAGTGAGACTCTGTCTCAAAAAAAAAAATAGCTTAAAAGCTCTGAGAAGACTTGAAAATTCCCTAACTTCTTAAGTAGCCACAATCCAATTACCTTTGGGACAATGAACTTTGCTGTATTCAACATTTACCCTTCTCAATTCAAAACCAAATAGTTCGGACTGGCACAGTGGCTCACACCTGTAATCCTAGCACTCTGGGAGGCCAAGGTGGGAGGATCACTTGAGCTCAGAAGTTCAACACCAGCCTGAGCAAGAGCGAAACCCCATCTTTACTAAAACCAGAAAAAATTAGCTGGGCATGGTAGGGCATGGTGGTGTGCGCCTTGTAGTCCCAGCTACTCGGGAGGCTGAGGCAGGAGGATAGCTTGACTCAGGAGTTTAAGGTTGCTAGGAGCTAAACTGACACCATGGCACTCTAGCCTGGGCAACAGAGCGACTCTGTCAGATAAAAAAAAATACTTCTACCTCTCTGGAGACTAAATGTTTTCCTAAAATCATTGCTAATTCTTTTCAATGTTGGGTTCTAAAGCATGATTTCTCATACTACCACTAAAATAAATTATACATACCATAAGAAAAACCAAAACATGATCTCCTTAATGTGTGTGCTTTCTACCATTACTATGAATATAACCAGTGAGTTAGATATTGCTCTGGTGAAATATCGCAGGATCAAAGGGTTAAGGGTGGCATTCTCCAAGAGGATCAACTCCCCACCCCCTACCTCTAAGCTCAAGTTTCCTGAAGCACAAGTAACTGGAGAACCATAATAAGGGCCAGATTGGCTGAATACAGTCATCACAGAGATGGCTCAGAGAAGCATCAGACACCCTCCAAAGCAGCAAGAGATCAATAAATATCATGAAACTATGCTGGCAAACAAAATTATATAATGCAGATTCCAATGCATTAACATGATGTATTTTCCAAGGAGACCCCAAATGAGCAGAATGCTGCCTTACACTATCACTAGCAGATGGTAAAATAAAACCTTGATTCATTCATCTCTCTTTCCTCTCCAGTGCACATAGCAGGAACTCAATAAATGCCTGCTGAATCAATAAGGGGCAGCAGCAGATCTCAAAGATTGCGAGCCAGAGACAGTAAGTTCCAGCTGGTGGTGGTATAATACTGTTTGAGTTAGGAAAATATGCTAGGAACCTGAGATGATGCACAGAACTGAACCCCCAGCCTCCCAAGATTAAGGGCAAAAGACTATATACCTTATGTTACTATAATAGAGAAATGGTCCATGGATATGCATTTCAACCTAAGCACATCACCCAATACCTACTAACCATGGTCTGAACAAACAGAGTTTATCGGAAATGAAATCAAAGGAAGTCTCTGGCGTTAAAGGGTAAGACATTCCTAGGTTATATGGATATTTATGAGAATGAATTTTCTAAAGGTTCTTCTTCAACAGTATCATTTTAGACTCATATAATAAAGAGCAATCCCCCTCCTAAGCCCTTTGTGAGTCCCCCTAAGTTTTATAAAACAGTAGCAGAAATGCAAAAGTGCCAAAAAGCAGCAAGTATAGCATTAAAGCCTTCAATATCAGACTTTCTCAGCTTTTAACTCAGCCAAAGACATTTAATTTTACTTTTGGACAAAAGGACAAATGATATTAAGGAAAATGATTTATAAATGCTTTCATCTTTTGCTCCTGAAATACCTAACGCTAAATATTATATTGCAGAGAGACTACCTCACCTCACCTCACATACCTTACTGGACATCTTGAGCGTGTCAATCTCTTCTCTCTGTTTGGATAATGTCTCGTTCATGCTGCACAGGTGGTCACTCATCATACTTAACTGATCCTCGTAACTCCTCTTGGTAGTTGTCAGCTCATCCTAAATAGCAAAGAAAAAGAGGGAAAAAGGAAAAGAGAAAAATAAAAACCCCACTAGGCATACCACTCTGAAGTTTTCATAATTCCTAAAATAATTTGGAGTAGGGAAATTATAATTAACAATAATTTACTGTATATTTCAAAATTGCTAGAAGAGAAGAACAGTAACGTTCCCAACACAAAGAAATGTTTGAGGTGCTAGATATCCCAATTATCCTGATTTGATCATTATGTATCAGGTATCAAAATATCACATGTACCCTCAAAATATGTGCAACTATATCAATTGTTTACAATTTCTAAAAATTTGTAAAAGCAACTGATCAAGATGGTCTATCTGATCAATTAGCATGTAGGTTAAGGCACAGGCCAAACAAGAGAATAAAGTCAAAAGAAATGGGAAAAAATTTTTCTTATCCTTCAAAATATGTTCATAATTTTTTTGCAAAAATGTAAGGGTTTCTTCCTATGCCTGATACACAATTGTAGGAAAAACCAGAGGGCTACATGATCTTTCCAAATCCCCTTGGTTTCCCCAAGCCTTAGATGAGGCCTCCGACCATTCCCACCATCCCACAACCCTCCCGACAGCATCTGGAAGAGGCTCTCTTCCCACCTCTCACACTCTCTTCAGCCCCCTAAAATCTAATCCCGTGCTCCTAACTAATCTGATTAATTAATCTGAAATGAGGAGGTGGTGGGTGTTGCTGTGCTGATGTGTTTTCCTTGCCTGGCATCATGTTTTTATCAACAGGGACTTTCTCAAAACAAGGGTTTAAAATAAGGCAGTGAGCAAGGAAGGAGGAAGATTTTGCAGACCTACTTTTCAGTTTAGGTCAGTTTTATGAAACAGGAAAGAGAAGAAACAGCGTAATGTGTACAGAACATGCCTACAGCCCACCATGACAGGTATTTACAAGGAAGGGGAAAGAAAGGAGGATTATGGGTAAATAAGCATTCTTTAAGCAAACACTAACTATAAAATGATTTAAAATTAAAATCAAGTCAGAGAAACAAACAGCGCAACCACTTTTTGCCTGGCATAAGTAAGATGTTACTTTAAAATAAGTTTGAAATAAAGTGGTTAGAAAAGAAAGCATGTCTAGAGGTCAAATGCCACTACTTTGGAAAGGAAATTCTGACTTTGCTGCCTGAGAACTTTCAATGAAAAAAAACATTAAAACTGCTAAGGTAACATTTATGAAGTCACCTGAAGTCTGCTGATGTTCTGACTGGCAAGTTTCATCTCTTCTGTCAATGTCTCCTTAGACTTTTCGGCCAAGGCCAGTCTTTTAGAGAGTGCTCGGCACTGTAAAAGCAGAAAACATTCCATTACTAGAGGAAGCGTTTTATTTTCTAAAACCAAAGTTGCTTCAGGGAAGGTTAGTAAAAACACTTCCCAAAGCCAAAAGCCATTCATCCATTCCACAAATATCTGTTGAACACCTACAGGCATTGTACCCCACACTGGAGTACACACTGATAGAAAAGAAGTGGCCCTCATCCTCATCATTTTAGTCAGGGAAAAAACATCTACCAACTCAAGCTCATCAGTGTTTATTTTCTAGCTCTGGCCTGATGATGCATGGTTATAAACAACATAAGAACTTCCTACATTTACCCAGGATCCATTTATAGTTATACTGGATGAAAAGGGAAGTGATTATTTCAAAAGTTATCAATGGCTTCCGCCCATGCAATGTGGATCCTAAGACACTTTTCTTGTGTTTTAAGTCCTTCGTTAGAGATCACATTACAGGAACAATAAAAGCTCTACAGTCCTACCCTACAGATTATGCTCTGTCTACAAGGGAAAAAAAATGAGTGCAGGACCATAAAGATCCTGGCTCCTTTCTTTGGGGGTTCCACCAAACCTAGACTATCCAGAGACTGAATAGATCAAAAAGAAAAATCCTACTTCACACTATTGTTCAAAGAGGGTATGAGATTAAAAGGATCACTAAACTTTCTGATAAGCCATTGAGACCGACAGGGAGGATCTGCTGAGACATACTTGAATGCTGTGTTGACATCAGGCACTCAGACTAACCATTCCAGAAAAGTCATACAGGGGGTCACCACTTCCTGTTTACGAATGAGGAAAAACTAGGACAATTTTAAAATTCTTGTATCACAATCGTGCTAAAGACATTTACTAAAATAAACAAATCTCTTGGAAATAAAACAGTCTCAAAAATTCCTCAGTTACTCATTCCATTTCTCACAAGAAAATTTCAGGACAGTTCAGCCAACCAAATCAACCACCTCCTATTAAATAAATACCCACTCTGTGCTCAGCACTGAAGCTCACAAAGAGGGAGAGAGACGTGCAAGGCAGAGGTCCTCATAAAGATGCCAGTCAAGTCTGGGACACTTAGATAGCAGTTAGGGAAGCAAACAATGAGAATACGATTGCCTGCTGGCACTGCGTGGCTCAGACAGTGCTACGGCAGTTCCACTGCAAGTCATCCAGTCTGCTGCCCTCTCCGCTTCCTGCATTCCACCAAGCTGTCACTACCGATCAGCTTAGCAAACACGTATGCGATGGCTGCTTGTGAACAACACTGAGCACATGATTTATTTTAGCAGGAAAAAGACACAAAGCCCCTCTGCACTTCCAGCAACTGGCCTCCTATCAACCTCTCCATTGCTGCAGTACAGAAGAAAATTACAAACTCAGGTTCCAATAAAGGATGTTATCTTTTCTTCTTCAATTTCTTTAACAATTTTAAACATTATAATTCTCCATTTGCCATTTATAACTGATCTTTTCATGTAAGGTTTCAAATCAGAGACCTTAAACATACTCCTATATGTTTAACAGCATCCATTCTATCTTGTTTCTTACTCTTTGATATCTGTTCTTTTTTTCCTCATTTTTCCCCCTTCTACTCAATGAATTGTGTATAATTTTATTAATTATATTGCATAGTGCTTTTCTTTTCCTTTTTCTTTAAGCATGAAACAAAGTTTATTGAGGAAGGACAAGATAGATTTACAGAGTAAGAGCAAGACATGTAACAGAAGAGCAAACAGGCCTCTTGTAACAAAAGGCTGCATAGTGCTTTTCTAATCCTTTTAAAAAAATTATTTGGTGAGAGAGGAAACTAACAAAAAGTGAGACTGTACATCTTTTAAAGGTGGAAAATTTTATATTCTTCATTTTATTATTTATAGTAATTAATTTATATAAACTTATCATTTAGAAATTTAAAAGTATTTTAGAAAATCAGGCATATTTTGCTTTCTAACTTGCCTATATAAAATTTCCTTGAGCTGTGAATGTCCACCTGTCCATAACTCTAAAATAAATAATCTGTAACAAGAATGCTCCAAAACACGTTATGTGACCATATGAAAGCCTACCTATAAGTCTCCCAGCTATCTTGCAGTAAGTTAGAAATGACTAATCAGTTTTATATTTATTGAAATAAAGATTTTGGTTGGTACGTAGACTAATTAATAAGAACTCCAACCAAAGTCATAGACACGTACAGACATAGAACACAAAGACTTCTGTCTTTTAGTGAACAGCAGAAGAACAGAACAGTGACCTAATTCCTACAGAGGTTAGGAAAAATCTCCAACCTATTATAACTAACTGCCTACTCACCTCAGCATAAAAATGCACTGACTTACTGTCAGCCAGCTGCAACTGAGACGTAAGTTCCACTATCCTTGCCATGTAGTGATTTTTAATTAGGTCTTCACGAGATTCCACATCTGGAACCTAAATAGAACACAAACACATATAAATAAATGCCAATGAGACTAAGCAATTCTAGGAAAAAAAAAAAAAAAAGACAACATTTTGTACATTTTGATTTGAAATTTGATAGGGAAGCACTATTTTCCTACCCCTCAAAGAAACTTCAGACATGACAGGTAAACGTACATCCCAAATTTCTTTTATTCAGCATCCTGTCTATCTCAGAATGAAGTTGTAGCTTCAAGAGAACAGAAATGTAGTGAAGTACTGGGAAGCCCACTGGAACCATGTCCCTTCTTCCAGCTTTGATTAGCCAAAAACCTAACTTTTAAAATCTCCACCTGTCTCACTCCTATGTCCTCCTCTAACTGGAAGAGAGCAGGGAAAAGGGGTATTTATTGGAACCCTAAAATCTGAACATTCTCGATTTCCCACAAATTATCTTAAGATAATTCGAATGCTCTTAAACATACTAATAATTTAAACTACTTCTCTATCGAACAGTTTATGGCCTTTGTCCCAGATTGGTATTTCTACTAGTTACTCTAGCAATGATACACTATTGAGTTTAGTTTAAAAATACACACTGAAGTTCAAGATTACATATATGATAAATAGGAAATCAAAGAATTTACCAATTTACTTGAACTATATTTACCTGTCTGCCATACTGAGTGGTAGACTGAATGACTTCAGAGTTCATTTAATGTTTACAAAGTTGCATCTTAGAACATTTCAAAATTCAAACGTGCAAACCTATCTGACGAGCCAAATCTGATTTGGGTTCATGCAGTTTGAGGTCTGGAAAGAGTTACCAAGCATACTGTTGGTCAAGGCCCTGAAAAGCCCTGCTTTCTTGGCTACCCACTGGAAGGACTAACATGGCTCTCAGACGCATGCTGTATGCCAGCAAGTGGATGGCCAAGCAGGAGCCACACCTTGTCAAACTGCCAAGGCAAGTCATCCAACAAGGCAATTACAAAAAACAGGCCATTATTTGTTGGTGACAGTTAAAATAGAACCAGAGAGAAAAGCAACATGGATTCATCAATGAAACGGGAAAACACTGGCTCCACATTTGCTAGAATTGTCAGAAAAAAACAAATGGACCAAGATGGCTTTCGCAGAACTTTGCCAACAAATATGCTGCCAGATATTTACTAACACATAGTATGATGCCAAGCGCACATTACCTCACTGTCAGATGTCCTGGTTAAAATCCCAATCTAGAACATAAAGGAAAAAAATCTTTAAAATTGAATGTTTACATTTCAAACACAATAGGTTTGACAATTATAATATTTTCTCTTCTCAGTTCACAGTTTTACAGAGCACTGTGAGTGCAGTATTAGGAGATCACCCTCAGATTGTCTTTTACTACAAGGATGGTATGCATGCAGATAGGTAGCTGCATTCACTATTTCTGCCATGAGGCAGGAACCAATAATAATCATTACTAAATCCTCTGTCAAAATGCTGATTAGCCCATTCTCACTGAAACCCAACAAATCATCTGGGAAGAAAGAAGAAGGTCAGCTTTTGACCTCATCTTACCATTTCTATACCTATTTCCAAAGCAATAGCCAAGAAGGGCTAAAGAAAGTTTTTTATGGTTTTTTAATTAAACATTCTGAACAGAAAACACAAATAACAAACATTCTGGCTGAAAGCTCAAGAGGAGAAAGAAGAAATAAATATATTTTGATGTAATGTTATTATGACATTAGTAAGCATTAATTTCATATTTAAATTAATGAAAACAAAAATGCAATTTTAAACACATTAAAGTGCTGCTAGATTTTTAAAATCTTGCTTTTGTGGGTTAAGATTTCAAAATCTATCAGAATTATTGAATTCAGGTTATTGTTCAAGGTGGAAGGGCATGTGCTTGGGTACGGTGACTTAAGGAAACTACTGGAAACTACTGGAAACCACTGGAAGTTTCAATGGATTCTATTAGCCAGAGATGATACCTGATAAACAATTTTCATATAGTCTAAGTAATAGCCTCATGAGTATTATTCTGAACAGTGAGCAGTATATCTATTGAATGTGTGCTAATGAATGCTATGCCTACCTGGATATAAGAGTCTTTTATAAGACCTTTTCAAATAGAAGAGCCATAATTTCATAAGCAATGAAGCAGAAGTAGCAATTGCTCTTTCTCTTTTAGTTAAAAACTGCTTACGATAACACAATTGTTTAATTTTATATATTCAATTATGACTGCATTTCATGAAATAAACTGCATGGATGCATCTATTCCAACTGCCCACCCTCATCTCTTACTTCTGGGTTATGGTTTGGAAATGTGGTATATAGCATGAAGTCCTTCAAAGGAATGGTATTGTACAAATGGAAGGAAAAGTTTTAACATACATAATTTTAACATTTTGTCATATGCTACTAACAAGAGTATAAACCCATACAGTCCTTTTAGAAAATAATTTGGCATTAAAGATCAAGGAACTTGAAAACATTCATGCCTTTTGACCCAGTAATTCCAACCCTGAGAATATAGCCCAAGGAAATCATCTAACATGCAAAAAGAATCTCATGCATAAAAATATTATTTAAAACAGTAAAAATAATAACCAATGTCTAATTATAGGTAAACTAAGGTATATTAGATATGGAATACTATGGAATCAATAAGTTTACATAGAATTTCTAATAACAGGATAAATATTTGTGTATTAACATTATGCTAAAAGATTTGAAATTTTATGTAGTACAATTTCAACCATATAAGAAATTTTGTAGAAAAAAAGGATAACAGTGGTAGCTTTTTTGGTTTTTTTTTTCTTCTTTTCTCTTTTCTTTTTTCTTTTTTCTGCCCCATATGACTTGTAGGAAACAGTAGTAGCTTGGTTATTGATGATAATGTCATCTTTTTCTTCTTTTCTTCTTCTTTATTTTTTAGTTATCTACAATGTACATGTGTTATTTTTATACTTAAAATATATATTTTAAAATTCTATTAATTTTTAATTCCAGCAAAACCCAGAAATTTGTTATTCTGTGCTTCTTCCTTCTTGACGTTATTATTTCTTTTATTTTTAAACAGATGACCTCAGAACTTTCTCGACATTATTGCTACCTTTTTGCTTTATAATAAATAATAGGTGGCTGAATATTCAAATTACAGTACTAGGTATTTTAATGAAAATAATAAGCATTTAACTTTTGAAATGCTATAGGGTTAAAAATAATAAGTTTCTATCTGAGGTTACTTTTTCAGCCTCAAAATGCTTGATATCAGGAGGTGGGGCCTTTGGGAGGTGACCTAATGGGATTAGTGTCCTTACAACAAGAGAGCTCGTTTGCCTCTTCCACCATGTGAGAACACGTACAGAGATTGCTGTCTATGAACCAGGAAACAGACCCTCACCACACAATGAATCTGCCAGTGCCTTAATCCTGAACTTCCTACCCAACAGAACTGTGAGAAATTAATTTCTGATGTTTATAAGTCACTCCGTTTATGGTATTTTGATACAGCAGCCTGAACGGACTATAACAATGGTTAACACAAAGCACTAGCTTAAAGCCTTGCTAAGTGGCATTAAAAAAAAAAACCGAGGACAACAAGGAAGATACTTACCAGACTGGTGCTCTGAACGGGCTCTGGCACAGCCTTAGCTGCGGCTTCATCCTGGCCAGCAGCATTCGACACGGCAGCACTGTCTTGGGCCAGCCCAGCCAACTGCCCACTACTCGTACTCTTCAGCTTGTCTGCGATTCGCTGGTTTTCTTTCTCTAGCTTAATTTTGGCTAACTGTGCTTCTAACATCCAATGTTCTTTTTCCTGCTCCAGTTTAGAAATCTTTTCTAAACTCTGCTGGACCTTGAAAAGTAACAGAGTTTTGCATTTTAGAGAATGATGCAGACAAAACTCGAGTGGCCAAAAAAAAATTTTACAGAATGTAAACCAAAACTACCTTACAGAGGTAAAAACAAATAGAGTTTGACCCTGGAATAGGGACAGATTTACTCAATGGGATACCCAGAGTACAACCATAAATTGAGAAATTGAAGTATAGTAAAAATAAAAAAATCTCTACTCATCAGTCTTTAAGAGAGTGAGAAGGAAAGCCAAAGAATGAAAGAATCTATAAAGCATGTATGCCACAGAAATCTAATATCCAGAATGTATTAAGAATTCTTGCAAATCAATAAGAAAAAGATAGACAACCCAACAGAGATACAGGCAAAAAACACCAACAACAAAAGATTTAAACAGACGCTTGAACTATAAACATATAAAAAGAAGGTATACAATATCACTAAATATCAAAGAAAAATAATTTGAATAACCCATTTCACTAAAGTTGAAAAAAACAGAAAATACAAACGTAGACATGTTTGTGGAACAATTGGAACTATCATGTAGTGCTTAATGAAAGAAACCAGACTTGAAAAAGTATATACAGCATAATTGCACTTAATAGAAAGTTCACTAATGGGCAACAAAACTAATCTATGGTGTTAGAATGCAGGAGAATGGTTATGTTCCGGAGAGAGAAGAGTAGTCACAGGACAGGGGCATGAGGGAGGCTTCTGCGGTCCTAGCGACTTTTTTTAACGTATACTTTATGTAGAGAAATGTCCTTTTTTAAAAAATCTAGGTATTGATTATATTATTGTGTTCACTTATGAAGATTTTTTGGGATGTACATTATTGATTTGTATACTTTTCTGTTAAGTATGTTATGCTTTAATAAGAAGTTAAAAAATTTCTAATTCTCAGGGCAAATAAAAGCTTGAGAATTACATAAAAATAATAGCAATCTTATAGTGAATTCCAAATGCTTCACCAACTACTGTGATGAGGAATTACCGTGTACCCGGCACTGTTCATGGTACCTTACTCCCATTACCTCACTGAAGGCTCCTTCCAGGCCCACAATTCTTATTTCTCAAAAAGGAAAACTAAGGCTCCCAGCAGCTACACCAAATGGCAGAATCAGGATTTGGGATCCTGTCTGTCCAGCTCACAAGTCTGATTCTTTTTGCTGCATCACACTGTCTTCCATTGGCTCAATTAATTTTTACAAGATCCTGAAAGGTAGATATCATCCTCCCTTTTAGAGAGACAAGAAGTGAAGGCCAGAGTGTTTATTAGACTGGCCTGCAGCTGGTCAATGGCAGAGTGGGAAAAGCATTAGCTTTGAGGTCAGATAGTTCTGCCACTTACTAGCTATGTTGGGTAAAAGTTGCTTAATTTCTTAGAGCCTTACTTGCCTCATATTTAAAAAAAAATCCAAAATTAATTTTTAAGGTATTCTACATTTTATTGTTTATCTCTGGAATTTTGTTTTTCAGGAATTATGTTATGAATTAAATTTTTAGTTCCAACATCCTATTGCATTAATAAAGAAAAGAAAAGTGATATGTTTCCAATGAAAATAAGGTCAGTATGGATAAAATACTGTCTCAGGTGAATTTATTTCTGCTCTCTTTAAAATATATATTCTCCAAACTAAAAACAAGCCAGACGTTGATGTGAATAAACCTCTGAAAAAAGCTAAATTGGTGTCAGTTTCTACCACTTGCCACCTCCACCCACTCCCCAAATTCAAATGACCACTAAATACTGGAAACTTTTCATTCCTACTCATTTAAGAAGTGAAAATAACTCACTGAGTCACTAGCCCCTCTCCCTCTTTGTCTTAGTATTTTCGACATTTAAATCTAGTGTCTAAAGAAAGAATTA